TAAGCCTTTTCCCTCTCCTAGGCTGGCTATTAGAAAGTTGCTTTCTCCTCTGTCTCATTTTAAAGAGGGTAGGTATTGCCACATTATTAAGCAATCAGCCAGGAGGATTCATCCAAGAACAATAAACTGACCTCTCAAGAGAAAATTAGTGAAGCTCAGGAAATTAGAGCTGGAAACCCCCACTGAGTGATCTAATGCATCCCTCAAGAATCAGCGCCATATACATTACACTTTCTGGTGCAGGCACTTTCTTTTCAATTTAATTTGAAAAGTTTCAAGTGATGGCAACTTCACTGCTACATCTTAGACCAGTCAACAAGCTATTAATCCATCTTCCCTGAGCAGAGCATAGTAACTCCAATAAACTTCAGAGATATCCATTTAACTTTCTGGCCTGGACCTACCAGCTGAACAAACACTTCAGACCGAGTTCAAATTCTGGCACCTCCTCTTAGCTAGAAGAATTTACACAAGTCCCCTTACCTATCTGTTCCTAGGTTTCTCATTTGGGAAAAAGAAAACCTCATCACCTCCCTCAGAAAATCTGCTGTAAGAATTAAATGAGATGATACACACAGAGAACGTGCTTAGGGCAACAGTGGTGCTCGGTTAATGTTTGGCGATTCTAGAGCGCTCGGCTCATGTTAAACAGTTGTTTTCCTGGCAGAAGAAACAGTCTACAATGAGTCAACGATCCCTTCTTTTGGCTTTCCCTAGATAACACTAGTGGGTTACAGTGAACAATACAGTTCAAAACTTTGAAAAGCAAAATTTCATTTGGTACCCAAACCTTGGGCTACTGGCACCAACGAAATTAACTAGCCTCATCGACATCTGTGAAAAGAAGGGGGAAAAATAAAAATAAAAATATTGTAAAAATAAATTAGGCTCAGATCACAAATGTGGTTCAGAGAGCACTTTTTCATTGTGAATAAGAGCCAGAATTGGAAGGCCAGGAGGATGGGAAAAAAAAGACATGGAATGAAGAGTCACCTTTGAGAAGGAATCAATATTTTGATGAATAGTTCATGGAGAAGCTGAAGGAAAGAGAAGAATGCTGCCAAGTACCTAACTTGGATGACTAAATTCACAATTTATTCATTCAATGAATTATCTGTTGAGCACCTACTAAGGGCCAGGCATGGTCCTGGGTGTTTGGGATAACACAGCAAACAAAACAGAAAAAAAAAATCTCTGCCCTTGTGGAGCTTCCTTTCTAGTGGGAAAGACAGTAAATAAGAAGACAAATAAATAAAAACGACCGTGTCTGACATAGGAAATAAACAAGGTAATGGAATGGAGAATAAGAGGATGGGTTCCACTTCAGATATAATGGTCACGGAAGGCCTCTGTCAGGCAGTAACATGTGAGTTAGTGGGTCCTGGAAGATGAGAAGGAACCAATAGTTAGAGAGGAGAGGAAGCATTCCAGGAGGAAGGAATAGTAGGTAGAGAGAAGACTTTGGGGTGGGAAAAGGTTAGGTATGTTGGAGAAATGGGGGACAATGTCTATGTAACTGAAGTGCAGTAAGAAAGGAGAGAATTCTAGACATGGTGGTGCATACCTGTAATCCCGGCACTTTGGGAGGCTGAGGTGGGAGGATCGCTTGAGGTCAGGAGTTCGAGGCTGCAGTGAGCTATGATTGCATAACTGCACTCCAGCCTGGGCGACAGTGCAAGACTCTGTTTCTAAAAAATAAACAGTAAATAAATAAATAAGCAAATAAGAAAGGAGATACTTGGCAGAAGAGATTGGAAAAGTGGGCAGGGTTCATTCACCAAGGACCAAGCCTTGAGAAGCAGGTTCTTGGGGAAGAAAATGAGTTCCTCTTTGACACACTGAGTTTGGGACACCTGAGAGGATCTCCAAGCTAAAGATCCAGGACTGCGTCCTAAGAATTAGAGACAGACTGGGATCTGAGAAATTGCTCAGTTGCATCAGAATCACCAGGGAGTATTCTAAAAATACAGTTTTCTCAAGCATTAAAAGTACAGATTTCTGGCTGGGGGCGGTGGCTCACGCCAGTAATCCCAGCACTTTGGGAGGCCAAGGCAGGCAGATCACGAGGTCAGGAGATTGAGACCATCCTGGCTAACACGGTGAAACCCCATCTCTACTAAAAATAAAAAAAACAAAAAAATAGCTGGGCATGGTGGTGGGCACCTGTAGTCCCAGCTACTCGGGAGGCTGAGGCAGGAGAATGACGTGAACCTGGGAGACAGAGTTTGCAGTAAGCTGAGATCGCACCACTGCACTCCAGTCTGGGTGACAGAGCAAGACTCCGTCTCAAAAAAAAAAGTACAGATTTCTGGGGTGCTACCTGGAAAATTCTAATCCAAGTAGGTCTTGATCAAGACCTGAAACTCATTTTTTTCAATACATCCAGGTAATTTTGGTCAATTCATTTAAGAAACATTTCTTGCATTCCTACTATGCACCAGGACAATTCTTAAGTGCTGGAAATATAGTTCTGAACAGGTTGGACAGGTTATAGTCTAGAGAAAGAACAGACAGTGAACAAGTAAAGAAATAAATTACAATTGTGACACACACTACACACACACACAAAAATAACAAGCTGGCAAGTATAAAATAAGGATGGAGACCTACGCTAGATAAATCTACAAGGAAGATCTCTCTTTGAGGAAGTGACTTAAGCTGTCACCTGAGGAATAAGAAGGAGGAACCTCCTAGAACATTAGGAGGCCAAGGCGGGTGGATCACGAGGTCAGGAGTTCAAGACCAGCTTGGCCAAGATGGTGAAACCTCTACTAAAAATACAAAAATTAGCTGGGCGTGGTGGTGGACACCTGTAATCCCAGCTACTCGGGAGGCTGAGGCAGAGAACTGCTTGAACCCAGGAGGTGGAGGTTGCAGTGAGCCAAGATCACACCACTGCACTCCAGCCTGGGTGACAGAGTGAGACTCTGTCTCAAAGTGAAAAAAAAAAGAAAGAAGGAGGAGGAGCCATGTGACAGCCAGGGAAAAGCAGTTGAGGAAGAGGGAACAGCCAATGCAAAGACTTGGTTGAGAATTCAGTAGATGAATCTAATCTTTTAGTTATTCCCATTTCATTAATCCATCAAAATGAAAAAGAAGGCATGGTGGAGAATGTACTATTTCATCTTTGTGTGTTCACCCAGCAAGCTATACTAAGCACATCCCTTGTACCAGGAACTGTGCCAGATGCTGACACAAAGATGAGCCAGATGACCCCTTCTCTCGGGGAGTGTGCAGTCCAATGAGGGAGGCAGGTAACAAAATAAGCATGGCTCATGAGATAAGTGAGAATCTCCCAGGCAATCAGCTTATGTTCTGAGAAAGCCAAGAAGATGATTAATAGTTTCGAGTATGATGATGCGAGCAATTGCTGTTGACACTGCATGATCAAATTATTTTCATTTCTTTGTGGTCCTGCAGCTCAGAATACCTGGATTTTTGGTGAAATATTTGCAAGGGATATCAGGTTTAGGATACTGTATAATGCACTATTATGTTTCAGAATATAAGGAGAAATAGCATGCTAATAATAGCTAATACTTATTGAGCACATGGATTTACCTGGATAATGTACCATCTCATGGAAGAGTCACTACGCCTTTATGAGGCAGGGACTATTATTATTTCCGCCTTTTCAGATGGAAAAATAGGGGCTTAGCAAGACCAAGAGGCTTTCCTGAAGTGACAATTTCCCAGTTCTGTCTGGATTCGAGCCTCAGTTCTGGTCCACACGCCCTCTCATGAATAGCTTAGACACCGATACAATTGCTTTTCTCGCTCTAGTCCCCAAAGTGGATACCTTGTTCTTCTCCCCAACCCACTCACTTATCCATCTAGGTTGCCTAGGCTAGCCTGATCTACCTGCATTTCTCCCCAGGGGTCCTGCAGGTGGAAAAATGGAAAGAATGGGCACCTGGACGGGCATGGACAGGGCAGTGCCCACTGACTGACTATACTTGACTCCAGTCTCTTGAGCCCCAAGTAGAATGTGGAAAACTTTGAGGCCAAAGCTGGGCACCTGGTTCCCACCCCATCTGGGGCAGGGGGCTGGGCGGGGGGAGAAATTCCTGGGGCTCAGTGTTCAAGGTCTGAGGCACAGGAGACAAATCAAATGCCAAGGCACCAGACAGTTAAGGTAAAACGTTGAAGTCAAGAGGAAGTAGTGAGTCTGTTGCCAACTGGATAGGGTTGGTCCTATCCCATCTAAATGTATTAGAATTAAGTGGCTTTTAAAAATGAGCAGGTCATCTTCAGCCCGCGGGCTGGCCAATTTGGAACTTAATGGGCCTTTGCGTCCTCCTTCTCTGAGCCTCCTTTTATTCCAGACTTTTCAGTGTGAGTTTGTGCGTCCCTCCGACGGTCTCTGGGTGTGTCCTTCAGGCAGTAGGATGCCTTCGACTGCCTGTCCCGTTTCTCAGGCTGACGCTCTCTCTGTCCTCCCCGCCTCCCCTCACTCCTTTCCCTCCCTTCCTCCTTGTGGGGAGGCTCTTGGCCCGGGTCCCTGAGCCCGGGCGGGTGCTGGCAGAGGACGCAGAAGGGGTGAGGTCACGTCTCCCTTGAGCCCCGAGCCGCTGGCTTTTCAGAGCCTCGCCTCGAGCCGGCGGCCAGAGCCCCAGACCACACAGACCGTGCGCTCCTCCGCCCTCCCGGCACCGCCGGCCTCGCCCATGTCTCAGTACGCCCCCAGCCCGGACTTCAAGAGGGCTTTGGACAGCAGTCCCGAGGCCAACACTGAAGATGACAAGACCGAGGAGGACGTGCCCACGCCCAAGAACTACCTGTGGCTCACCATCGTCTCGTGTTTTTGCCCTGCGTACCCCATCAACATCGTGGCTTTGGTCTTTTCCATCATGGTGAGTGAATCAGGGCCAGAGGCAGCCGGGGAGGAGAGACCCGGACGGCTTTGAGCCCCTGCAAGGGATTCCGCGCGCTCTCTGCGGCTCCCTTCCTCACGGCCCCGCCCGCGCTAGGAGTTCTTTGTCCTCGCACATCCTCCTCACCTTTCTCAGGCTCTCAGAGCTCTCCCCGCAATCATCAGCACCTCCTCTGCACTCCTCGTGGTGCTCGGAGCCCTGATGAAGCTTCCCCCAGGCTAGCTTTCCTCTTCTTTCCAGCTCCCAGGGTGCGTTTCCTCTCCAACCTGGGGAGGTTCTTCCGTGGACTTTGCTGACTCCTCTGACCTTCCTAGGCACTTGCCCGGGGCTTCTCAACCCTCTTTTCTAGAGCCCCAATGCGTGCCATCCTAGTGGGCAGCAGTTAGTGCATTCCCAGAGCGCGCAGGCTCTACGTTCCTTTCCCTGCGGCGCCGGGAGCTCCTGCGCTCCAGCGGCCGGGACTGTTTCTATCTCAGCCTGTGCTCCCTTCCCTCTTTGCTGCGCCCAACGGCACCGCTTCCGCCACTCTCCGGGGGGTCCCCAGGCGATTCCTGATGCCCTCTCCTTGACCCCCTGTTTCTGCTCTTTGGCACGGCACGCTCTGTCCAGGCAACAGTGTCCTCTCGCTTCTTCCCACACCTAGCTTCCTCTCCTTGCCTCCCTCCGGCACCCGCTTTTTAACGCCCCCGAGGCTGCCTTACACCCGCTACCTCTTTAGGTCTTTCTTGGGCTCCCCGTGTGCCCCCCTCACCAGCAAAATGGGCGCGCCTCTCTTACTCTTTCTACCCAGTGCGTCGTAGTTCCTCCCTGTTTGTTGCGCACTGGCCCTAACCTCGCCTCTCTTGGTGTCCCCCAGGGCTCCCAGGCGCCCCTCCACCGCTCTGTCCTGCGCCCAGAGCTCTCCCGGGAATGAACTGGGGAATTCCACGCAACGTGCGGCTCCGCCCGCCCTCTCCGCGCAGGCCTCCCGAGCTGCCCTCCTCTCTAGGAGTGGCCGCTGGGGCCTCCCGTCCGCCCTTCCGGAGCTCAGCTCCCTAGCCCTCTTCAACCCTAGTAGGAACACCCGAGCGAACCCCACCGGGAAGGCGACGAGCGCCTGCTAGGTCCTCGCCTTATTGACTGCAGCAGCTGGCCCGGGGGTGGCGGCGGGGTGAGGTTCGGACCGGCACTGTCCCGGGACAACCCTTGCAGTTGCGCCCCCTCCCCCACCGGCCCACCTCGCCTGCAGCTGGGCCACTGAACTCCCCGGCCACAGACGCAGAGCCCTGATTCAGCGCGGTGAAAATTGCGAACCACCCGTCCCCCGTCAAGTCCGCCCACACTTGCCCACGGGTGGTGGCACCACATTCGCTTAGTGGTCACCTGCAAGGCTCCTGCAAGGTCACTTGCAGCCGTAAATTGCCCTTTCCCAAACCAGTTTGTGGACGGCGTCTGCGCCGACATGAAAGCGCGCGCAGCCGCTGAAGTTCAGTCAAGCCTGTATTCAAATCCCAATTCTCCCACTTTCTAGCTATGTGATCTCTGAAGTCACTGCATCTCTGAACCTCAGTCTCTTTGTAAAACCGGAATAATCACAGCCAGGTTTCTTGGGGTTGTTGGGAGCATGCATGACATAATTGTTAAGTGCTTAGAACAGGGCCCAGCATGGTATCTTCACAAAATCTTTACTCAAATGTCACTTCATGAGGCCTTCTGTGATTGCTGTTTAAAATCAGGACCCCCACCCACCCACCCCGCGCAAGCTCTGTTCTTTCCTCTCTGCTGCCTTTTGACCAAATTACTTCTCTCCATCTGATACAGCATTTTAATTATTTGTATGTTTACAGTCTGTCCCTCTCATTAGAATATAAGCTCTATGAGGCCAGGAATATTTGTCGGTTCCTGTATCTTCAGCATCTGGAAGAAAATCTGGCACGTGGTAGATGCTTAATAAGTATTATGACATGAATGCATGCATGAATGAATGGTGTGGATGAATCATTAATCTTTTTTTCCCATCCTGGAGGCCCGGCAGCCGTCGCATCCGGTTCCTTCAGACCAACCAGCCAATTTCCTCCCTTCCTTCCTATCCCCATATATCCGGTCTTGACTCTTTTTGCCGAGAGTCTGGAAACGATGCTGCAGCCAAATTCTCCAGGCAGCAGCAGACTGTCTGGCTGGCACTGGTGCCCACATTCTATCCTGGTTTATTAATGAAGCAGCCAATTCACCCCTTTCCCAGTGCCACTTAGAAAACTGCGTGCAAAGCCTTTTTCCCTCATTGGTCTGAAATGAGCTGGCACTCCAGCTGGTAGTGACAGGTCAGATATTAATGATGCTGCTTGGTATGCCCTGGGAGAAGAGGTTTGCACATGCTTTGAATTGAAACTTCCTTTTCTAATCCCCTCTTCCCCATTCCCTCCCCCAAGCCTTTTTCAGTTTTATAAGAGACTATTCTGTTGCCAGAACAGACCCTGGAGACAGTTTACTATGGACAAGTTTGTATCTTTCTTTCTTTCTTTCTTTCTTTCTTTCTTTATTTGAGACAGAGTCTCGCTCTGTCACCCAGGCTGGAGTGAGTGCAGTGGCACAATCTTGGCTCACTGCAACCTCCACCTCCTGGGTTCAAGCGATCCTCCCACCCCAGCCACCCCAACTAACTGGGATTACAGACGCAGGCCACCACGCCCGACTAATTTTTGTATTTTTAGTAGAGACGGGGTTTCACCATGTTGCCCAGGCTGATCTCAAACTCCTGACCTCAAGTGATCCGCCCACCTCGGCCTCCCAAAGTGCTGGGATTATGTGGGTGAGCCACTGCGCCCGGCCAGGTTGTGTACCTTTTTAAACCCTTGGTTTCTTCATCTATAAAATGGGAATGTGAACGCTGTTTTAAGATGAGCAAAACTGTTGTAAGGATGAAACAAAACAAAGCATTCTAGCTGTTAGCACTATGCTAGGTACATGCAATAATTGTCAGATGTATAGATTTGGAACTTGGAGATATCATGTTACATATGAAAACAAACAGAAATTCTAAACGGTGTGCCCTACACCCTTCCTGTTGCACTTTCTCTAAGGTACTGGAAGTGTTTTCCCATTGATATAGTGCAGCTCTGGGCTTGATCAGTTTCATCACAAGGACTCCAAAGGACAAAGGACAAAGAGGAAGAGGAAAGATGTGCAGTAGGAAGGTGGGAGACCAATTCTGCCAGGCGTTTGCTTCCCCTAGGGTCTCTTGTGATGTTCGGTCCTTTTTCAACTCTCACTTTTTTCAACTCTCACTTCTCTGTAATTTATGATTTGTGGTGCTCTCAATGATTTGGGGTGTTACTGGCATTTGGTGGAAAGAGCCAAAGTACTAATGTCTGCCATGCTAGGGGCTCTCCCCCAGTGAAGAATGGACATGTTCGCAATACCAAGATCATCCCAGTGAAGAAGCACTGTAGGATGACGCAAATTGATATAAACATGGATGTGTGGAACATATTGGCAAGGTTCAAAATAATTAGTTTCCAGAATGGTAAAAAAGAGCCAACAATCTCAAAACAATCAATACTTAAATATTTATTAAACCAAGCCTGAGAAGCTTTCTATAAAATCACCAAATTAGAGTAGGTGCTGGCAAAGAAAACTACTTTGGAAAAATACACATTCAAGAAGAGTGTTCTTCAAGTTGTGGATTTCTGTGTTCTTTCTACCACCCCATGTAGCTCCAGGGGAGTCCTGGGGTCCTGGGGGTTAGGAGGTGGCACACCGCAGATGAACTCTAGTCCAACATGTCTTGTTGTATTGAGTGTTGACAGGTCAAGCATTGTCAGGGACAGAGAAGTGTTGCTTCCTCTATGTATTGAAAGTCTGTTTGTTGAAAGCATACTTAACCTCAATGTGAGAGACGCGTATCTCAAGAATTTCTCCCTAGACTGGGTTCCTGGTAGCTCATATTGCATCTTTGCGTGAATTTGAATATGGCACATTTTCTCCATGCAGACACAACCCTCCACCAGGGCACATAGCTTGGTGAGGAGCACAAGCTGGCTTTCAGGCCTCATTCATCATGATCCCACCCATCCCTGGCTATCTGTTTATTCCCTGTAAAAGAACCCCATAATTTCCTAATGTGGCCCTCGACCCTGGAGAAAGAATATTTATTTGTTATTCAGCACGTACTTATTGAGCATCTATTAGGTGCCAGGCTCTATTCCAGCTATTCCTTTGTCTCTATCAAGTGGCAAATAAGATCAGAAAGGTCTCTGCCCTCCTGGATCTCAAAGAAGTGGGGCTCTAGGCAAGCTGCAAGAGTGTTGGCAAATTTAGGGTTAGTTCACTGTCTATTGGTTTTGTCGCTGGAATTTGCTACCTTACTCAGAAGACGAGTTTGTGCCAGCCCTCAATTCTTGATGACATCATGATGAATCATTTGCAAAACTGAACCAATTGGTCACTCTAATCATGGATACAAAATAACCAATGACTTTTGACCGGGTGGCTTATAAGCTTTTCATTAGCACTTCTCTCTCACACCTACCAATAGGTGTGTGGGGATTTGCCCATTCTTCATTGGGGAACAATTCATAGCATGGCAGGACAGTAGTACTTTGAGTCTTTCCACCAAATGCCAGTAGCACCCCCAAATCATCGAGACCACCACAGATGCTCCCACATTTCTAAATGCCTTCAAGGGGAATGGTGCAACCCCTAGTCGAGATTCCCAAGCACACCATTGCCTGACATGTCTTACACACATCCCTGTCTAGAGAACCTGTCTAGAGACCAACCATTAAGGTTCAAATCCTTTTCTTTGATGTGCTTATGATTTTATGCAAGTGCCTCGATCTTTCTGAAGCTTGGTTTTTCCACCTTGTAAAATGGGGGTTGTGATAGTATTTACCCAAATGCAATTGTGGAGATTAGATAATAAAAGTCAAAAGTTTTCAGGTCACTGCTTAAAACACAGCTAGAATTCAATAAGTATTGATTTGATGATGGTGATGATGATGGAAGATACGTCTATTCTAGAGATACAAGTCATTACCTTTTCCAGTTTTTCTGTTTTTATTGTGACTAGAAAATTTGATAAGAATAAAAACAATGACCAATAGTAGACGTGTCACTGGAATAAAAATTTGTTGCAGCATAAGGTAAATATTAATGCCAAACTGAAACACATACAAATAAGCAAAGAGGACTTTTGATTAATCATGAAATATTGAACATACCTGTTTTGCTCCCACCCCTTCTAAGACCACTCAAAATGATAGTAAGTACTATTTGGTAGCACAATAGGGTGACTACAGTCAATAATAACTTAATTATGCATTTCTAAATAACTTAAAGGGTGTAATTACATTGTCTGTAACATAAAGGATAAATGCTTGAGGGGATGGATACCCCATTCTCCATGATGTGCTTATTTCACATTGCATGCCTGTATCAAAACATCTCATGTACCCCATAAACGTATATACCTATATGTGCCCAGAATTTAAAAAAAAAATGGTAGTAAATGAATTTAAAATGATATAAACACTCAAGGACAAATTAGGAAAACAGAAGAAGAAATGAGTGTGGTGACAAAATCTTAGACGATGGAAAATAGCTGGTTGGACATCAACTAATTTTGCGTAGTAGGTGACACTGAAATCTAAATCCTGTACAAATAGTAGCCAACAAGAAGAAAGTCATTTTTCTCTGCAAAGCTCTAGGAAAGCTCAGAAATTGGAGGTACTAGCTGAAGACACTGCCTCTGATGTTAGGAGTAAAGGGTAGGGAAAATCTTTGAAAGTCTGTTTATGAAGTCGTGGAACTGCCAGAGATCGCCTACCACCCCACACAGCCAGGCCCCCACTTCCTCACCATCTCAGAAGATTAGAGATTTTCTCTGTGGTAAGATTAAACAGAATGACTGTAGACACCAGGCACAGCTGAGATAAGAGTTTAGGTGCCAAGCTGAAAACGAGATTCATGGAAAGCTGCAATGTTGAACAAGGAAGCTCTTTCCCCAACTTGGTTTCCTGAACAGAAATTGGAGAATTTCTCTCCAAGGATGTGACCAGTCCAAAAG